ACAGTTTAAATATAACTGTTTATATTATTAACTTGTTTAGAACACAGTTTAAATATAACTGTTTATATTATTAACTTGTTTAGAACACAGTTTAAATATAACTGTTTATATTATTAACTTGTTTAGAACACAGTTTAAATATAACTGTTTATATTATTAACTTGTTTAGAACACAGTTTAAATATAACTGTTTATATTATTAACTTGTTTTAACACAGTTTAAATATAACTGTTTATATTATTAACTTGTTTTAACACAGTTTAAATATAACTGTTTATATTATTAACTTGTTTTAACACAGTATAGATATAACTGGTTATATTAATAACTTGTTTAGAACACAGTTTAGATAGAATTATTTATATTATTAACTTGTTTAGAACACAGTTTAAATACAATTGTTTACTTTCAGTTAAGGAGCATCAAGAACAAGCAAGTCACTTTGAATCTTTGTTTGAAAGGTTAGATAATTATTTTACGTTAAAGCGTGAATATTAACAAAAGTACATTACTTGAATGTAGTAGAGCTTTAATATTGAAATATCAGAATCTACTAATGTTTTATAGAAAGGACTAAGTTAATTAGAGATTTATATTGTGAAATATGGATAGTTAAATATAAATGGAGGTTGTGAGACTAAATTATTGTAGCAATCAAAAAAAAAGTAAAAATGTACTACAAATATACATGAGGCCTTATACGTCTCTCGGCACGAGGAGGATTAACCTGATTATAAATATGTAGTTACTTCATTGATTTTATTTTTTATTGTGATTGAAATTAAATGTTACCCCTTACAGTTCGGAAGAAACTCATCAGACGGCCACAAAACAGATCTCTCCTAACCCAGACACAGTGGCTACAGACGGCATTACTCGAGGTGATGGCAGACAGAGCCAACCCTCGGAGATTAACAAGCTTATAGACTTCAGTCCTTCTCCAAAAAAGAAAGTACGATCAAGAAGTCAATAGTACACTCTGAAACCTTAAACTATGACTTGTATTGGAAGTTCTTAACAAAATTAATAACTTCAGTTTTTATTTTTAGAAGCACAAACTTTTCTAAAATTAAACCTACTGTGTAAGGTCCTTTTGATTATTTCTTTTTAAAATGTATTTGGTTTTAATAGAACTTTAGATAAGATTATTATAATTTTTTTTTGTTACGAGTGTTTTTCAAATTATCTTGAATAATAAAAGTATAATTAATGTATCTGTGGATCACAAAATAATTTTTATTGAATTTGTGAACTTTTATCACCAGTTTAAGGAACAAACTTATATATATATATCACTCGTGTTAGTTTATGAAAAAATTTTTTATTTTTATATCTGATGTAGAAATTGGAAACTTTTTTAAATGTCATAAAAATTACATTATTGCTAAATATTTCAACAACAAAAAATTTCTGATTTCAGACTGGACATGTAACACATGAACAAACAGAGTCCCCAAGGTCGTCCACTCTATCTCCTAAGCATCGGGTAATGTGTGCTATATTATACAAGTTTGTTTTAATTTGTGTATAATTACTTCTGTGTACTGATATAGTCAACATTATTTTTTGTATCTTAATTATATTTTCTCCTAACATCTGTTAATATGAACCATGTTTAGATTTAAATGAAACTTAAAGTGGAAGAACTGTTTTAAAATTTTGCATTTAAATCACTGTGTAAAACTTCCAATGGTAAAGATAAAACAGGAATTATAGGAATAAGGTATAGCGTTTTCGTGATAAACTAAAAAGACAAATTCCCGTTTAAAGTCAATTGACGTATTTATATACTTTATAAGAATATTAGGTAATCAAGGATCAATTTTCATGAATTTCAAGTAAAAAATAAATAAAATATTCAAACATGTTACCATTAACATGATTTCAAAGCAAGTTAATTCAAATGTTTGTTAACTTCTGAGCACTTTTTTTTAATTGTACATTATGTAGCTTGAACTTGTTTTAAGATACGTGTGTGTGTTTACTATATATATATATATATTTTACATTTTATAGGGACATAAAACCTTTAATGAAGAAGAGGTTAATCGAGCACTTAAAATGCACGAGTTATTATATCAAGAAAAACTGATTAAAAAGGACAAGGATTTTAATGAACAATTCAAAGCTATGGAGAAGAAAAAACACATTTTAGAGAAACAAGTTATGTCTTTAAAAGATGCCTTAAGCATTAACAGGTATTTTAAGTTTTACCAGTTTATTAATTGAAGTTTTTTTTTGCTGTGTAATAAAAATTATGACTTGTAAAGTATTATCTTACCTATAGCCATAATTTTACTGGTTTTGATCTTGTTTTGTAAAAAATTCCTTTTTTTATGTAACTGTGGCTTTTATTGTTTTGTTTTCATTATATGGTTTAATTGTATTGGTTATTTCACCACGTACTTGCCTAAAGTTCTGGGTTCGATCTCCTCGGCAGGCACGGCACAAATAGCTCATCATGCAGCTTTGTGCTTGAAAAAAAAAAAACCATAACCATCAAAATAGAATTTTGTCGTGATTCCGTTTTAGCTCTTCTTATGCATGTATGAGATATTTATTATTGATGTTTAAATATATCTTCTGTCTGGAAGATTAGTAGTTTGGGTAAATTTTGTTTAAGTAATTGATAAACTGTAAACAATTAGTTTTGACCTTATGTGAACGAGTTAATAGTCTTATAATTATATCTACTGCATGTTATTCGTTGGATGTCTGGAATATACAAGGTTATTTTGTTTTTAATATTTTTCTTAGGGCAGTAACAGCAGAGTTAGTTAATTTAGTTAACAGATTTCTGCAACAGAAAGAAAATGATCGGATTGAACTGGGAGAAAAGAGTCAGAAGGTAACGAAGGAAAGAGACCAGGTCAGTTTAGTAAATATTTATTGGAAGTAGTAGTAGCTGCATGGGGCATTTCTAAAAATTAATTAAATCATAATTTTTTTTATTTCTGTTTTAAACTGTGTTTTACCAAATTATGAATGAAAGAAATAGTTGCTGCTTTTATAATAAAAAATAAATAAAAAAAGTGTTTGTATGTATGCATAGGGGCAGTGTAGAATAATCGTCATTGTAATGACTTAAAAAGGCTTAAAAAATGATTTTGTATGGGTTTGTATTCTGAACTGCATGTGAAACCGAGAGAGCTAATAAAAATGTATTTGTTTTCTACACATTTTAAATACTGATTCGAGCATCAAGAATTTGATTTGGTTTCGTTGTTTTTTATTAATTCTATTAAATATATATGTTTTATTTATTCAGTTCTTTTCAGAAACTGAATACCTTTCCTAATGGTAAAAAATCACCAAATGTATAATTTTTTCATCCTTTGTATAATGCAATATATATAACGATTTGTATAAATTTCTTACACCATAATATGTTAGTTTAATGAACTTGATTAAACAGTGGTTCTAACGTTATTCGATATTCAAAAAACATATGTTTACTGGGCAACCTGTATGGTAAGTCATTTTACATCAGTTCAGAGTACATGTTTGTTCACGCCATTGTTTCAACAGCATTTCGCCTGCTAACTGTGTCAATATATATAGCGTGTTGATGTTAAAGTTTGCAACATGAGAGATGTAGTAGAGATTCTGGGCTAAATTACTTCTAAAGTCGGCATTACACTTTTTGTTAGCGTTATCCTGAATGCCATATTCTGCGTGGCTGCAAACTTGTAAATGTTACTATGATGTAAAATTTATAAACCCTCGGAAAGCTTAGGCGTGTACCGTTCAGCATATATTTTCTTATGAATTCTCTGATTTATTCAATGCTTGTTTCGTGACAATTAAATGTCTTCAATGCAGGCTTAATAAAACGAAAAATAAAAATTATTTTGTTTAAATAAAAAGATAACATTTTGAAGTCAAAATTAACAAAACGATAGCTTTTTTTATTGATTAACTCAAAAACGTGTAAAAAAGTCTTTTCTTCAGAAAGGTCGGGAAAACTTTATTTTAGATTGATTTGTTTTTCACGTTTGAGCTTTTTTTGTGAACGTAGAATATTAAATGAAACGCAACAAATGATATTCCACTGTTAGTAATAAATATTTATCTGAAAAAAAGCTCGTGAATGCCTGACATTCTAAAATTCGATGACGAGGAACCCACTTTGAGACTAATAATGCTTGAAGTTTTTCTTCATTACCCATTCAAGCCATCTCCAAGCACTATATGACATTCTAAAAGCTCGTTTTCATCTGATTTTCTGCACATATTTGTACCAGACATTTTGTACAATGCATATATCAAATTGAACAATATTTCTTTCAGGTTAAGTAGTTGGCACACCTACAAAAGTTGTAATATTTTCAAAATGAGACCCAAAACTCGAGCGCTTTCGAATAGTTGACTATTCTTCTTCAGGAGAATAGTCAACTATTCGAAAGCTCAATATTTCTCTAACATTGTATTGTAAACTAGTACCTGAAGTGTTGTTATTTTGAGTAGTGTCCTTCTAGGATTGAATTGGATTCTGTGGATAAAAAACCACAAATTATTGTGTACTGAACACGAGACACTGTCGACTGATAATTATGTAGTGGAACTAGTTTATAAATCTGTCATAAGATGTGGATAATGTTTTATATCATTTATTTTTTTATTCATGTTGTAGCTTTTCACGGGTCGTAACAATGTATGAAAATTTTCACAAAACAAAAATGTACATTTTTTAAGTCCCAACTTGTTCGTTATTGAAAGCATAAAGAACTGTACAATGACATTTTTAATAATATCATTTTAATTTTAACCACTGTATTTGTAATTGTGTAAGATAAAATAAAACGAATTCTACTTCTAACAAAGGATGTCGGGTGCTTGTATACTTTTTAATGTTTCATTCCGTTTGTTGACATTATGGCTCTTCTTTATCGGTGGTCATTTGAACTTAAACAGATAATCATTTCAACCTCCAAATATCGGGTGAAAACTTGCTTGACGTTTTCCCAAGCTCTTGCTTTTCTTTCTTATGATGACCCGGCATTTCCAGGTGGTTAGGTAGCTCGACTCTCAATCTGCGGGTCGTGGGTTCGAATCCCCTTCCCACCAAACGTGCTCACCCTTTCAGACATGGGTGTGTTATAATTTGACGGTCAATCCCACTATTCGTTGGTAAAAGAGTAGCCCAAGAGTTGGCGGTGGGTGGTGATGACTAGCTGCCTTCCCTCTAGTCTTTCACTGCAAAATTAGGGACGGCTAGCTCGGATAACTCTCGTGTAAGTTTGCACAAAATTAAAAACAAACAACTTCTCCTGGAATAAGCTTAAACTTCATTGTTCAACATCGACACGTCCTTCTTCTTAGTAGTAATTATGATTTTCTTTGCTAATGTTTGTTGATTTCTGATATCAACAGAATTTCCATAATCTGCTATCATAATATATTATTTTTTTTTCAATAATCTTTTCAGGAATTTCAACAACATCGTTGGTTATATAGTGTAGGTTTGTGTATATAAAGCACCTCAAGAGAGAGAAAAATAGCAAATTTTCCATCAAAGTTATAAAAAAGAACCTTTTTAATCAATGTACACACTAAATTAACAAATCTCTCTCTCTCTTCTGTCTGGACATTTTATTTTACACTTTCCGTAAATAGACTAACAACAATATCGGATCATAATTTTGTTGCTGAACGAAGACTTAATGTAAAAGCCATTGTGGGAATGCAGTGTTATGAAAACACAGACACTGGCTTTTATAGATATATATATATATATATATTAGGTTTAATAAGTTGTGTATTAACATGAAACTGTAAAACTGATCAATTTTCTGGTACAATTGAATTGTATCATATAATTATAATTCATTGTGTTGTGAAAATGATACAACAAGGTATTATCATGATTATATAATAAACTGAATGTAACAAAACATGATATTGAGATTACAAGTTATGCCTTTTAGAGAAAGAATATATTTTGAAACCGGTACAGCATTTCAATCACTGGTGTGATCATTCTGAAGTGATCTAATCGTTGTACCTGTTTTAAAAAATACCCTTCCCTTCCGTAAAAAGCTGTGACTCGTAATAATGCTTATAATCAGTAACTCAAAACGAAACTTAATTATATCAAGGTGCTCTCTCATAATTATATAAACCATAGAATACAACACAACGTCATGTTAAGATGCCATTATATAATCCACAGAATACAGCAGTCATGTTAATGTGATACTATTATACATCAACAATACAAATGTTACTTTACCAAGATACTTAGGCTAGGTAGTTACGTTAGGTTTTGTTTCAAATTTTCTTTAGGCCTTGGAAGATTTGCAGAGTGTGGAAAATGCATTTGCTGACCTCCACAGGAGATACGAGAAAACCAAAAGTGTTGTTGAAGGATATAAACAAGTACTTTGTCTTTTCATTTCTCTCTCTCTCTGGCTATGTACCCCTAACATTTGTATCACCAAAACTATACCTAATAAGATGTAAGAAAGTATAGCGAGTTTTCTAATTCTTTCTAAACGACGAAGACAGTTGCAAGTTCTAAGAAGTGTTTACAGAAAATTTCTGTTTACTAAGCCTTTTTAAACAGTCATGAGGAATTAAATTAATTGTAAATTACCATTATATTTTAATATCTGTCTCCAACTTTTTTGTATTTCGATAAAAACTTAAATAATGAGAGAGAGAGACGTACTTGGAAAGGTTAATGTGCAAGGTTTTATAAAATGTTATTAACTCCATGCGCCAGTGTGCACCCACTATCTAATAGAAGTCCGTTGTCCTCGTCTCTGAAACAATCATTTTTGAAAGCTGTTTGCTATTAGTTAAAGTATCTTTATCTAAAATAACAAAGTTTGGTATGTGAATTAATGTTGTTTTTTTACAGTTTTGTGGTCCAAATATTTCATCATCAGACCTATACTAATATCGTTGGATGGAACTATAACAAAGTTTACTTAAAATGACCGAATTCTAATTCTATATAAATTAGTGTAACATCGTTAACTTAGGTACCTCGTACTTGAAAGAGACGAGTTCCGACTATTTATTAGACAATGCTTGATTTTATCATAGAATGAAGAGTGGTTGAAACAGCAGCTTAATGAAACTCAAGCCAAACTTAAGAAGCACGAGCAGATGTATGAAATGCTCCGAAATCGTACAGAAGAGAAGCTAGACAGGTAATTAGTTATCTCGGGACAGTATAGCCCGATGTGGCTTTGCTATAACACACACACACATACTGCAATGAATTATTAGTTTTCTTGACATAAGTGTTCACATGAGCCCTAATCCAGAGTTTCTAATGAATGATGTGTGGTTATTTTATATTGATGTTGAATGATGTGTGGTTATTGTATATTGATGTTGAATGATGTGTGGTTATTGTATATTGATGTTGAATGATGTGTGGTTATTGCATACTTGGTGTTGAATGGTTATTGCATACTTGGTGTTGAATGGTTATTGTATACTTGGTCATTCAACACCAAGTATGCAATAACCACACATCATTCAACGCTTCAACCATATCAATTCTTGGGATACTCTAACAACAACTACCATATCAATTCTTGGGATACTCTAACAACAACTACCTTATCAATTCTTGGGATACTCTAACAACAACTACCTTATCAATTCTTGGGATACTCTAACAACAACTACCTTATCAATTCTTGGGATACTCTAACAACAACTACCTTATCAATTCTTGGGATACTCTAACAACAACTACCATATCAATCTTAAATTCTTTGCTGATCATTGCCTCATCAAAAATTGTTTTTTGTCTCTTTTAAAAAATTTAGAAACTACCCAAAATTAAAATATGGTTAGTCTTTAAAATTTTAATACATACATAACTTTTTTTTTAATGCTAGCCATATTTTATTAAAAGATGATAACAGTATGGAACACCAAGTATACAATAATCATTCAACACCAAGTATGCAATACCCACACATCATTCAACACCAAGTATGCAATACCCACACATCATTCAACACCAAGTATGCAATACCCACACACCATTCAACACCAAGTATGCAATACCCACACATCATTCAACACCAAGTATGCAATAACCACACATTTCTTGGGATACTCTAACAACAACTACCATATCAATTCTTGGGATACTCTAACAACAACAACTACCATATCAATTATTGAGATACTCTAACTTGATATGGTAGTTGTTGTTAGAGTATCCCAAGAAATGACTAACTGCCTGCCAGTTCAGGATTGAGAAAGACCTCTTGTAGCTGCACACGCCTTTCCAGAGAAACCAAATACATCGTGTTGATGTCCTTCTTTCATTATTCATTAGAGCTATCTTTTGACTTTTCAAAAGTTGTCATCTGGTTTAGTCAACAATATGTTAAACACAAAAAGGCTAGAACTAAGAATACTAAGTATGTCCAGAAATGTGCATTGTGTTGTTGAAACAGTTATATATGGGAGAGTACAGTAATGCATTTTTTACTTTGTTCCCCAATATTTAAGACGTTTTGTTTCGGCAGTACAGTGTATGCTATTTAAGATTTGATGTCCCATACATTAAAATGTTATTGATTCTAACCTATAAATGTTGTATGTATTTTGTTGTTTTTTTTTCGTTAAGCCTGATTACTACTACCAGTTACAGTCAAAATCTATCTCAAAAAAGAAGAAAAAAATCGTTAGGTATCCTTCTTTTAAAAAAAAAAAAAGGGATTTTCTCCTCCTTTTGATTACATATGTTTAATGTTGCTTTCATCACTCCAAACTGAAATGTTTTTTTTTTAACATCATTATTAAATATTTCTTGCTGACTACTGAAAAAGTCTTTACTTTTCTGTAGTGCCAATGTTGAGATAGAAAATGCCAAGAAAGTCACCGAGGCAGAAATGGCAGTCCTAACGGCACAGCTGAGGAAAGCCGAGATGAGGATAAGTAGTCTAGAAAAGAACTTGGAACACAAGGTAAACTTTTATTATCACAATTTGTTAGATATAAAAATAATTAAGAAATAGAATTATGCGTGTAATCCAGTCCTCTAATAAGTTCAGTTAGTGTGTAACGTCAAGTACTGACAATATTCGTGTCCATGATCTTGGCTTACCTGGAAATTTTATTTTTTTGTGTGTCTCGAAAAAATTGGATTTATTTTTGGGAAAATATGCTGCCACCTGTGGCCAATTTAAGGAAGTTTTCCTCTGAACAATATAAACCATAAAGTCTCGTTTGTAATTTTTTTTATGTGGATTTCTCATATCACACATAAAACACAACTAAAACTGGTACAAACTACGATGTGGAAAGGATGAAATATCTTGACGAGAGAGAGATCTGAAAAAATAAATGAAACTAAGAAATACTTTTTCACACTTTTTGTATAAATATGAAGAATTATTACTATTAAGACAAAGAAATGCATAAATTTGTTTTTTAAAAACCAACAAAGGTAAATAGATGGGATACTTATTTTATCTGAATCATTTCCTGTATCTGTCTTAACCTGAGTAATGTAATTGTATATCAGTTATTGTAATATTCAGTGCGTAGAAGCCCCCCAGTGGCACAGCGGTATGTCTGCTGACTTACAACGCTAGAATTCGTGTTTCGATACCCGTGGTGGGCAGAGGACAGATAGCCCATTGTGTAGCTTTGTGCTTAATTACAAACAAACAAATAAACAGTGTGTACAAAGCATTTAATTTATCGTCATATTTCAAGATTCAGAAACTTGAACTTACGGTTAACATATATTTATCAGTATATATATATATATATATATATGTGTGTGTGTATGTGTATTACAGTATTGAAAATAATTATGGAAATGGGCAATAAAATGTATATGAAATCCAAATGGTTTTTAATAGTTGTTGTAAATGGTGGCCAACAGTGTGTGAAATTGGTTTCAGGTTTAACTTTCTGGGTGTATTACCCTAAAAATGAATCAGTTTATCTAATCCCACGGAATGTTTGATGACGTATGTTGAAAATATAATCATTTTGTCTCATCTTCTCTCCACAGACTAAAGAAAACACCGAACTTTCCAACATTTGTGACGAGCTAATTGCCAAGGTTGGGAAAGTGTAGACCTTGGGTATATGTAAAGTGGACATATGCTATCATGCTAGAAATTCACCGTGAAGTCTTTCCACAAGTCTGCCTTTAGGGAAAAGACAACACAACCATTAATTTTCTATTCACAACTGAATACCACCTTCTGATTGGTGTAATACTAAATTATATATAGGTTTGCATCTATTTTGTATACCTTTATATACGGTAAGAACGAAAAATATTTTCGCTTGGATTTCTTTTCTTTCAACAGCATCGAAATGTTTTGTTGGGGTTTTTCTTTTTGTCCCCCCCTCAAAAAACCTGTTAGCCTTTTTCTTTTTTAAACAGGCCTTGACAGCTTTGGGACCATAATTATATCCATTAAAGTAATATCCCACAAAATCTAGCGTTTCCTACCCAAGTTTCGTAGCCGGTGCAGTTGGAAAATTAGACGCATAGTTTAGCAAGTAAGCATAACAGATAGCAGAAATGTAAAATATTACTACTAAAATCTTTAAAGTGTGTTTTTAACAAATTATTATATATATTTGTTTGAGAATTAATTAAATTGTGAAAAATCTAACTAATAAAAATAATTATCCTATTATTATGTACAGTATATTATTGCAACATCCCCCCCAACCAGATATCATAACGCTTTTAGAAAACACAGTAACAGTGATGATTAGTGAATGTTTTGTAGAAAGACGTTTTTTGTTAATTCATGTTTATTTTATCTGCAGGATATGTAAAAAGTTCTCTACACGTTAAATAAATTAAGTGTTTTACCATATAATGTCGATGTTGTTGTTAAAGTATTGTCGAGGTGACGAACAATAGACTTCTTATTTATTGAAATATAGAAAGTTTTGTATGGAGAAAAATACAAGAAGTTAAAAATATAAAACTTTATAACCCCGGGAGCTATCGATTCCTAGTTTGTCCATGATGATGATGATGAAGGATCTGCCAATATAAAACTTTATAACCCCGGGAGCTATCGATTCCTAGTTTGTCCATCATGATGAAGAAGGATCTACCAATATAAAAGTTTATAACCACAGGAGCTTTCGATTCCTAGTTTTTCCATGATGATGATGATGAAGGATCTACCAATATAAAACTTTATAACCCCAGGAGCTTTCAATTCCTAGTTTGTCCATGATGATGATGAAGGATCTACCAATAAAAACTTTATAACCCCAGGAGCTTTCGATTCCTAGTTTGTCCATGATGATGAAAGATCTACCATTTGAAATCATTAAGATTATATTATTTTGTCTTTAAGTTGATAGTACGTAGGGCTAAGCATGGCTTAGTTGTAACTGTAATGTAATCTCAATGTACGTGGTTTCATGTCTCGTTGCAGCCAAATCTCGATACACATTTAGGAGTCGTGAGTGCGTTATAAGAGTGAATGGCAAAACTTACTATTTGATTAAAGTGATTTAAAAGTTGGTGGTGGGTACTGTTGCATAGCTGCCTTTCCCCTCTAATACTTCACAAGGAGGAATGGGTAGTGCAAAATAAATCTTTAACACAACAAACTCACAGGTGATTTTACAGTTACTGGTAGTTAGTTAAGTAACGGGCTAACATCTCTTCTGTAGAATTGCCTGTAACTTATAAAATCTTGTGAGAAATACACACACACACACACACATACATAATCCAAAATTTATGAGACTTCTTAGGTACATGTATATTCCTCAATTTTACTATATGTAGTTTTTTTTTTACCAAAACTAATTCATCATTTGGCTAGTGAAGCCAGGTAGTTAGTTACTCACTCTGGTGTTTGATTTACTCGACACTTTATTGTGTGATACAATTTTTGTTAAACATTTAACTTTTGCCATTGTTTATTTCTTTGCTTCGGCACTCGTGCAAACCTACACTGGGGCTATCTAAATTACGTTCACAGTTAAATGGGCTGGCAGGGCTTACGAACGTGAACTTGCTCTACCTAAAAGATAAGTGATTAATGTTTAGATAATATTAGCTGAGGGGTATCCGTTAAGGTAACACAAACTGTATAAAGGACAATGTTTCCGTTCATTCTTTTGTTAGTGAATCTTTAATGACCACATTAGATTCTAATTGGCTTTGTGGAAGGTAGAAATTTTCTCATTAAACTGATTAACTACTCGTGTCTTTAATTCAAAGCCAAAAGTCTATAAAAAAAAAAGTGCAAATGTGTCTTATTTCAGTGTGTTTTTTATCCCTGTTTTCGAGCAAAAATCCTAAAATAAAATAACCAATGTACACCGTCAGACAGTTTCCAGGTTATCACACCAAAAGTTATTGGGTCAGCCAACTCTGGTTGATGGATGCTCATGGAGCCGTTTTGTAATAAGATTATAATATGCCATTCATTATCAGAAGTGAGTTTTAGCGGGACACGTGTTCAGATTTATCTGCTTGCCATCCACTTCAGAGAACTTAATCGAGAACACGTGGGTATTTACCAGGTCTTCGTGTTATGTTTTTATTTTATTTTCTTAACAATGCTCCAAAGATAGGTGACCAAGTTTAGATCAACAAACCTTGTAACGCGTTAATATCGAAATGCACTTATTAGACATGACAAACTTTGTTGTGTGTAAGTATTGCCGCTAGAGGGAGATAGACATCGAAAAAAAAATTAAATTGTTTTGAGAGACACTACAAGTTTATTGACAACACAACATGGTTTCCATAGTAAATACACAATGTCACAGAAATAGCTTTTTCAAGGTTTACAGCAATATTTTTCAAAAGAAAAAAAGTCCGTCATTTCTTTGGAATATTTTTAGTGATTTTTTTAAGAAAATAAATGGTAAAATTATGATTATAAAATAAAAACCTGCTTCTGTATTTATTTATCTTTGAAATTACATCTTCTCTTGTAATAACATACAATTTTTTTATATTTATTTACAGCGTAATAGTAAATTACATACAATTTTTTCCCTTACAAAATCTGGGAAGTAAATAAATTGTCAGTGTGGGTTTTTTTTAAAAAAACTTAAAGCTTCAGCTGTTAAGCTGCTCCTTCCCTTGTTGGTTTGGGTGGCCTAACAACCGATATTTGGTTAGTTACGTGTGTTTTTTTAATATCAGTTTAATGAGTAATCATTTAATGAAATACCATCTTGATCTTAAACCAGTTAATTGGTTAATAACCATTACCAAGTATTTGTATTGATGCTCAAATTAGAAATAGACATTAAAAATATATTTCACGATAAAAACCAAAAAATACGAGTTAAATTATACTTATTTGTATATTAAATGCCATCACGTGTGTATTCAATAATTATATACCATTATCAAAGTGATGACAGCCAAATGTTTTTGTCACTAGACTGGATAAATTAATGACGACAAACGTGCCTTTTTTAAATGATTTTCGATACCAACAACAACAAAGAAATGAGGTCGCTAAAGTTTGCCCACATCTAGAAGTCAAAGTGGTTTAATTCGGTATGAAAAAAACTGATAATTTCTGAGAAACTAAACATTATCGATAAAAATTCAAATCGCCAATTTTTATATTTAATGCGTGGTAAAAAAAATAATAATTACTTTTTTTTTTAAGTTTGACGAAGGTTTAGAGAGAGAGAGAGAAAGACATTAACTTATTTTACAACACTGATTTCGAATGTATTTTCCTTTCTGAATCTGCCTACATCATGCCGTGAAATGATGGAAAACATGGTATTATATAGTATCTGCCCTTGTCCATCTCTACACGCTCTATCGCCAGTCCAACATCCCTGGGACAGAAGTACCCGACGGGACACGAGCACTTCCGACTGACGAAACGTTTACCTTCGAAGGAGTCGGTTACTGTCAGGCATGGATCGGTGGGTTCACACATAGGTGGCTGAAAGAGATTGAATATTTAAATTTATTTTTACAGGGTTAAAAGCGATATTACGTGCTTAAGACGAAATCGAGACTGGTACTAAATGAGTCATTAATATTTATGATCGATAGACATAGTGAAAATTGGCGGTGGGTGTTGATGACTAGCTGCCTTCCCTCTAGTCTTACACTGCTAAATTAGGGACGGCTAGCCCTCGTATAGCTTTGCGCGAAATTCAAAAACAAACAAACTTACCAGTTTGCAGTGTGACTTAACACTTATAGCTGTGACCCCTTGTTCATACTGGGAGAAAGAACTGCTATTTCTGGCGAACTTATGAGTCGCTGGACACTTGCAGTGGATACGTACTGTGTTGGTCAATGTCTCGCCGGTAAAATCGGACATTTCTAAATAGTTGCTGTACACAACGTCTTTATTGGTGCAGAGTTTTAACCTAGGGGCTTCCTCACAATACTGTAGAGAAAAAATATAAGTTACTTTTCTCACAGTACTGAAAATAAGACCCAAAACTCGAGCACTTTCTTCTTCAGGTTGGTTCTCCTGAAGAACAAAGTGCTCGAGTTTTTGGGCCTTATTTCAAGTCTATTACAATTTATATATGATCCTTTGTGCTAACTCTTTTATCGAAAAAGTAAAGATGAAAAATCAGTTAATGATTTTCTCCAAACTATGTGGGAGTAAAATATGAATTTAGCCAAATTAATTTTCAAATAACGGTGAAAAAAATAGGAAGTAGCTTCAGTTACTGAGATTTCTAAATACGATGAAAAATTAAGTTGGAATAAACTTAGCCTGAAGAGTTTGAAATAATGAAGAAAGAATAATCTGGAACGTATTAAAAATCTGTCAACAGTTTATAAACGAAACATTTGGTATTTTAATTATTATAAAATATTTATTCACGGTAATATTTTTTGAAAAAAAAACTCGCTGTTATCAGTAGCATTGTAAAATTGAATAGTTGACTGTTTTCTACTCCTAATTATCCACACACACACACATATACGTTTAATCATTTACTGTTTCTATATTCTTATAATGTTATAAAATTAAGCGAATAAACCATTTGGATCATACATACAGTTGTTTAAAAACAAATCATAACTTACGAATAAGCTGACGTCACTTGCTATTGATTTAACATGTCATAAAGTATGATTTAACATGCCGTAAGGTATGATTTAACATGCCATAAGGTATGGATAAAATTGAGATATCCGTAAGCTGACGTCACTTGCTATTGATTTAACATGCCATAAGGTATGATTTAACATACCATAAGGTATGATTTAACATGCTATAAGGTATGATTTAACATGCCATAAGGTATGATTTAACATGCCATAAGGTATGGATAAAATTGAGATATCCGTAAGCTGACGTCACTTGCTATTGATTTAACATACCATAAGGTATGATTTAACATGCTATAAGGTATGATTTAACATGCTATAAGGTATGATTTAACATACCATAAGGTATGATTTAACATGCTATAAGGTATGATTTAACATGCCATAAGGTATGATTTAACATGCCATAAGGTATGGATAAAATTGAGATATCCGTAAGCTGACGTCACTTGCTATTGATTTAACATGCCATAAGGTATGATTTAACATGCCATAAGGTATGATTTAACATGCCGTAAGGTATGATTTAACATGCCTTAAGGTATGGATAAAATTGAGATATCCGTAAGCTGACGTCACTTGCTATTGATTTAACATGCCATAAGGTATGGATAAAATTGAGATATCCGATTATAACATACCACAATCCATGCAAAAGTATCGAAATCCTGTTACTATGGTGACATAAACTCAAATACGTATGTTTAGCTAAACTCAAGTTTAATTTTTGTTTGTTTGTTTGTTTGTTACTATGGTGACATAAACTCAAATACGTATGTTTAGCTAAACCCAAGTTTAATTTTTGTTTGTTTGTTTCAGAAGTATATATTTTTAAAATTGCCAAAATATAGAATTTTATCTTCTCTTTTATGACGATATATTGAAATAAAATCTAGGTGGCGTTTACTCGAAAGTCAGTTTGTTTTACCTCAAACATGCATTGTGAACCTTCTATACATTACATAAGATACCTTGTATTGATCGTTGCCATGGGAAATCGTATGCCCATCCCTTACGTTCCACACCAGAGGGCAGGAGAAGCCGTTTTGACAGCTGCACAGCTCTTGGTAGCTCCACCCCTGATAGTTGAGTTGCACGTATGCACACACGCTGAAAGGTTGACACGGGGGAAACGTCTGAAATCGTAAGTTTAAAAAAATGTTTTTAGGCCAATATAATCCCAGCCTTAATAACCAACGTAAAGAAAGCTGAGACTAGAGGCAGTCGAGATTCGGTAATGAAAACAATCGCTCGAATTTCAGGATGGAGCCCCGACTGGTCTTAGGTTTCACCTTTTAACAACAACAACAAACATTATCAACCTTGTAGAATAGTTTACAAAGTTTATATTTAACAAAGGTATTTTCAATGCATAAAAGGAAACAAATGGGTTCTAAGCCGATCAAGAATCCTGTAAGATTTGATCTTGAATAACTTGCATATGAAACGCAGAAGTTTGGTTGACTAAGGCATCTGCCTTTAAACAGTGGATGATGTATTTTTTTCGCCAAGGGGAGATTGGAAATGAATACAGTCTCGGATGGCATCATAAAATAAACAAAAATTGGAGCTGGAAATATATATAAGAATGAAATTCTCTGTAATCCCTTGCAATCTTCACAGGCTTTTATTTTTGTTCTGGACCATTGAATCTTCATAAGATATACGATATGTATGTGCACGCACGTGCTTCCTTACCTGATCAATTTCTATTCATAGCTTACCCAAGTAAAATATTAAATCCAGTCCATTTGTCAGCCATCTTGGCCGTTCATGCTCCACAATACGGAAACTAACACAGGAAACTTCATTATATATATATAGTGAGAGAGAGAAACACATATAGGTAGATAGATACAAAAGTTATGCTGGTAGTTGTCAACGGCTGTATCAAATGTCTCCGCATGAGCATCTGATAACAATATCTTTTACCACATGATACTATATTTTTATAAAGACCAAAAGGGTTTAGATATTCCTCACGTGACATTAGAACGAGTTCCATTTGGCACATTACGTATAATGTTGTTTTTTATTTCTCGACAAGTAATGGGATTGATTTATTGAGTGCATTAATGATGTGGATGAATCCATTCAAACCACTTCCATCAACTCAGTAAAGAAATTGGTCGATACTAAAAAAAACTATTCTCCTAACTACAACCTAATACATTAAAAAATATTATTATTATTGGTAAAGTGTGACTGTAAATTCACACTTTATCTGCCAAGCTATAAATTCACACCTAATCCATCAAATCGTAGATTCACACTTTATCTGCCAAGCTATAAATTCACATCTAATCCATCAAATCGTAGATTCACACTTTATCTGCCAAGCTATAAATTCACATCTAATCCATCAAATCGTAGATTCACACTTTATCTGCCAAGCTATAAATTCACATCTAATCCATCAAATCGTAGATTCACACTTTATCTGTCAAGCTATAAATTCACATCTAATCCATCAAATCGTAAATTCACAGTTTATTTGCCAAGCTATAAATTCACAGTTTATCTGCCAAGCTATAAATTCACACCTAATCCATCAAATCGTAAATTCACATTTTATCTGTGAAGTTATAAATTCACACCTAATCCATCAAATCGTAAATTCACACTTTATCTGTCAAGTTATAAATTCACACCTAATCCATCAAATCGTAAATTCACACTTTATCTGTCAAGTTATAAATTTCACACATAATCCATCTAATCGTAAATTCACACTTTATTAGTCAAGTTATAAATTCACACATAATCCATCAAATCGTAAATTCACACTTTATCTGTCAAGCTATAAATTCACACATAATCCATCGAACTGTAAATTCACATCTCACCCACCGAACTGTAAATCCACACCTAATCCATTGATTTTTTAATTTACACATAATCCACACCTAATTCATCGAAATTAGCAAGGTTGTAATACTGATATTTTAAAGCGACCGTCTTTTTTAATTAAAAGCAGAACTAAAAGGGGTAATACCGAAACGTTATATCTCAGCACCAAACTTTAAAAGGGGTAATACCGAAACGTTATATCTCAGCACCAAACTTTCAGTCAGTTTCTCGTATATGGCTAATGCTGAAACTAAAAGATGTGTAAACATTCTTGTAAATATATATATATATTATTGAAGTATTGACTTAGTATTACCAAACCTGTGACTATTATTATTGTTTATTTCATTGTTTCATTTTTTCTTTCATTTCAAGAGATTTCCATATTCCGAGTCAGCTCGTGAGATGACGAATAAAGTAACCGCTCGTGAGTGACCATTCGTTTGCACTATGAAACTTTCTTTGTTTGTTAGTGTCGAGTTTATTACCGCTCAGACGACAACAAATTAACATTATATATTTTGGGTGTTTTTCTATGAGAATTAACTGGAGTACCCATCTCCTGGACGGAAGTTATGTAAATTCATGATCAATGAAAAGTTATCTTAGGTTTGGTATTTTGGTTTTTTTGAATTTCGTGCAAAGCTAAAACGAGGGATATCTGCGCTAGCCGTCCCTAATTTAGCAGTGTAAGACTAAAGGGAAGGCAGCTAGTCATCATCACCCACCGCCAACTCTTGGGCTACTCTTTTACCAACGAATAGTGGGATTGACCGTCACATTATAACGCCCCCACGGCTGAAAGGGCGAGCATGTTTGGTGTGACAGGGATTCGAACCCGCAGATTGCGAGTCGAGCGCCCCCTAACCATGTCGAGCCAGTTATCTTAGGACACGAAAAGTTGCTTCCTTTATATGTGATTGTAAAAAACGCCCATAAAAACTGAAAAACACAAACT